TCTCGGGACGGCTCTGAGCCCGCCGCGGGCATGCGATGCTGGCGCGAGGCAGTGTGCCAGGAGGTGCGGGAAGGCGGCCGCTGCGTTCCGCAGCCCCCGACGGAGAGGCGACCCCGCGCGGCCCGCAGCGATTTGGTCGTCCTCCCGCGCCCTGCGCAGACGGTCCGCGTTCTTCTCGCTCGGCCTCTCGGCTGCCCCTGCTGCGTGGCGTCTTTCTCTCGCGTCTCCGCCCGCCGCGGGGGCGCCCCGCCAAGCTGCCGCGCACGGGCCGCCCCCCGGCCGGGCGGCGCGGACAGCGGCGGCGACGAAGGCGCCTCTGCTGCCAGCCCTGCGCGCGCAGGTGGACTGCGGCGTTGGATCTTGCCTTCGCGTTGCGGCGGGTCCGCGGGCGCGCCCCCCTTGCCTGCGCGCCGCCGGGCGGGCCTGCGCATCGGTTCCTTGGCGCGGGCCCTGGGCCCCAGGAAGTCGTGGGCCCCGCCGCGCGCGGGCTCCCCCGTCTCGCACGACGCTGCGTCGTTTTGCGGGCCAGTTTCCGCGATAGCTCTCCGAGGCCCCCTGAGAGGTGAGAGGGCTGCGGATTAGAAGCCATTGGAGCAGGGCAGCCCGGGAGCTCAGCATGGCGCCGGCAGGCAGGCTCGTAACGAGACAGTGTGCCCCGAAGGCGTTTTCCCATTCGCTCCCATTGCGTCTGCCGGAAGCCTTTCCGCGGGGGCCCTTCGAAGTTTTGCCAGAGTTTTTGCGATGCTCTTTTCTCGAGCAGCTGCCCAGACACGTCTTTCAGCGTCTTTACATGCGTCTCCCGCAGACTTGCCGCCCGCTTTGGATTGCCCCGCTATCTGGGCCGTGGGCGTCGCAAGCGAGCCGGGTTACCACTGCGCCCTCGGCGCGCTGAACCACGGGCCCCTCGCGGTGTCGTTGACGTTTATTGGGTTTCTCTTTTCCTGCTCTCTTGCTGTCTCCGCCTCCGAGTCCCCCCCCCCCCCTGCCGCGCCTGGTCCTGGTGGGCTCTCCGCGGCGTTCCCTCCGCCGTTGCCTCTCCCTGTTTCGCCGCGGGAGGCCCCTTCGGACTTCCGCCAGCGTGGTGCCTCACCGTCGGGCCCCCCGCGCGTTCCCCCGCCCGCGCGGGGCTCTCGGCGAAGCGTGCGGCTCCTTCCCTCTTTGCAGCGGGGTCCTCTGCTCTCTGTGCGAGGTCCCGTGGAAGCACGAGGCTGCCCGGCAGGGGAGGGAGCGCGGCTGGTGGCAGCTTGGGCCCTCGTTTTCCTCCCCCCCCCCCCCCCGTGTCGGTGTCCCCTCCGTGCCCCCTCTGCTGCCGCTGCGTCGTCGCTGGTCCTCTTGCGAACTCCCTCGTCGGCGTGCCCCCCCCGGCCTCTGTTCCGCGATGTTGGTGCCGCTGCTGCTGGTGATGTGTTGGGCGGGTGGGCTCCTCGCCTGGCGCTGGGCCGTCGGCGGGCCTCGTGGGACGGTGATTTCTGCGTCCTTGTCGCTTGCGCGCCAGGGGATCCCCATAAGGCCCTGTTACCCCGACTGCTGCCCCTCTTGCTTCTTCTGCGCCCCCCCCCCTTCCCCCCAGTTGGGCGCGTGCCCGCTCAGCGACGCGCCCGTGCGGACAAATGACCTTTTTGCGCTGGCAAGCGCGTGCGGTGAAACATGCATTGCTCCTCCTGCTCCATCTGCTCATCATTTGTTCCTCATTCCTGTTCGTCGTCGCCACCCCGTTGTACCATCCGACGCTAGGCGGCGTGGTGCCGCCCGCCGTGGGCTGTCTACGGTTTTGCGCGGGCCTCCAAATGCAGCATCTGCTCGGCAAGGGTTGAAAGCGGCCCCGGCGGTCAGGGCTGCGTGCGGATTCGGGATTTCCCTTCTGGCGCAGCGCGCCGCGACGCGAAACGGGGACGCCGCGCGTTGCGCCGAGCTTCCGTGGTAGGACCACGTTTGCATGAGGTTTGCATGGCATGGCCTGCCCAACGCGACGCGCACACGCCCTTCTGCCTCGAGGGCTCCCATATGGCCTCCAGGAGCCGTCGTGGCCTGCAGGCGTTTGCCGAAGACTTCCGGGCGCCTCTGGCACTCGCTACGCGCACTTCTCAAGGACCCCCAATGGGGATGGCGCGGGAAGATCGCGAATGACGGTGTGAGACGGCTCGCTGGCACCGGCAACGTACCCAGGGGACCCCAGGAGCGTCCTTCAATCAAGGTTTTGTGATGTTCATTGCTTTGGGCTCGGGAGGGGTCCAGGTTTTCGGGCCGTTCCTTATGTCGTGGTCGGAGAACCAACGCGTCAATGAGGTTCGCCGTGGCCAAAAGCATTCCTTCGTTCCTTCTTCGGCGTTCCTTTCGGCAGCGCACCGGCTGTAATGTTGCCAAGGCCTTCCAGGTGCGTCCGGGCTTCTTCCCTATAGGAGTTTCGAGGGGCTTCCGCCAGGCTCCCGTGGAGCCTCCACGGCTGCGCGCTGAGTTCGAAGGACTTTGTCGGGGCGGTGCTCAGGCGATAGAGAGAGAGAGAGAGAAAGAGACAGAGAGAGAGAGAGAGAGCGGAGGAGGAGGAGGAAAGCGGGGGAGGAGGAGGAGGAAATGGAGGAAGAGGAGGAGGAGGAGGAGGAGCAGGAGAAAGAGGAGGAGGAGGAGGAGGAGGACCAGTGTGAGCCCAATAATCATCAACGATGTTAGAATACACCCTCCCTTCACGCTCCCTCTCCATATGCCCCTACAGCGGTTCATTTCCATTGAGGGAACTAACTGCCTCGTTGGAAGACAACCGTTTGAAGACCATGAAGCATAATAGAACATTACTCTCGGGATGCCAACGTCACCGATCGACCTGGCTGTTGCGTCTTGACGATGCTGAATCGTGCCAGAACGCCATTCTTGGGACTTCAACACTGCGAAGCAACGTAACTGTTGCACCCACATAATCTTGTATCCTTCCAAGACATCGTTTCTGGTACGGTGATCCCAGGAATACATCAAACTGTTTTGCGCATCGTACAAACGAATGTGCGCGGCGCTAGGGCGAGAGCCACAGTTTGAAAAGGAATCGTTCTCGACCCGTGCATCTATTGCACATGTTTAAAATAAATGTGCACGGTGCTGAGGCGAGAGCCATATGTTGAAAACTGGTCGCGCTGAATCCGTGAAATTCTTGCAAACTGTTAAACAAGTGTGCGCGGCGCTAAGGCGAGAGGTACATCTTGAAAACGGGTCGCCTTCAATCCGTGAAGCTCTTGTAAACTGTTAATACACATGTGCGCGGCGCTAGGGCGAGAGCCACGTTTTGAAAACGGGCCGCCCTCCATCTGTGAAGCTCTTGCAAACTTTGAACGGATGCGCGCGGCGCTAAGGCGAAAGCCACAGTTTGAAACCGGGTCGCCCTCCATCTGCGAAGTTCTTGCAAGTTTTTCCAAACCATCCTGTGGTGTTGGGTCCTCGTTTTGAAGAGACAGCGCCCCGCGTCCCACCTCCTCTCCTCCTCCCCCTCCTCGCCCTCCTCCCTCCTCCCCCTCCTTGCCTCTGCTCTCGGCACACCCCTCACACGTTTCGTAGCCCCATAGGGAGCTTCACCGAAGGTCCCAGTGGCACAGCCCGCATGCGGTTCCCCCACCCAGGGCAGCGCTTCGTAGCCCCATAGGGAGCTCCACCGAAGGTCCCAGTGGCACAGCCCGCATGCCGTTCCCCCACCCAGGGAAGCGTTTCGTAGCCCCATTGGGAGCTTCACCGAAGGTCCCAGTGGCACAGCCCGCATGCGGTTCCCCCACCCAGGGTTGCGTTTCGTAGCCCCATAGGGAGCTCCACCGAAGGTCCCAGTGGCACAGCCCGCATGCCGTTCCCCCACCCAGGGTTGCGTTTCGTAGCCCCATAGGGAGCTCCACCGAAAGTCCCAGTGGCACAGCCCGCATGCGGTTCCCCTACCCAGGGCAGCGCTTCGTGGCCCCATGGGGAGCTCCACCGAAGGTCCCAGTGGCACAGCCCGCATGCGGTTCCCCTGCCCAGGGCAGCGTTTCGTACCCCTATAAGGGAGCTCCACCGAAGGTCCCAGTGGCACAGCCCGCATGCGGTTCCCCCTGGCCCCATAGGGAGCTCCACCGAAGGTCCCAGTGGCACAGCCCGCATGCGGTTCCCCCACCCAGGGCAGCGTCTCGTAGCCCCATAGGGAGCTCCACCGAAGGTCCCAGTGGCACAGCCCGCATGCGGTTCCCTCACCCAGGGCTGCGTTTCGTGGCCCCATAGGGAGCTCCACCGAAGGCCCCAGTGGCGCAGTTCGCATGCGTTCCCCCCCACCTAGGGCAGCGCTTCGTGGCCCCATAGGGAGCTCCACCGAAGGTCCCAGTGGCGCAGTTCGCATGCGTCCCCCCCACCCAGTACAGCGTTTCGTGGCCCCATACGGGGCTCCCCCGAATGCGATACCCACAACTGCATATGGTTGGGTCCTTCGCCAGGCGAATTAAAACAAATGGGCGCGGCGCTGAGGCGAGAGCCACATTTTGAAAACGACCCGCCCTCCATCCGTGAAGTTCTTGCCAACTTCTCAGCTTCAAAGTCATAGGTGGTTAGGAAGTGTGAGGCGAAACGCCCGGCCTGACTTAAAACTGGCTTCGGGGTGCGAGAGGGATAAGTTATTTTTAGACAGGAATGGAGGAAGAGGGGGAGGTGGAGGAGGAGGAGGAGGAGGAGGAGGAGGAGGGGGAGGAGGAGGAGGAGGAGGAGGAGGAGGAGGAGGAGGAGGAGGAGGGGCGAAGCAAATGAGCAATGACGTAAACATGTTTTTTTGGAGGCACGCGCGGATTTTCAGATCTTTGCTGGACCCCCCTCGCGGCGCCTCTAGCGCCGTCCTTGCTGCGCTCCGCGCACCAGGGAATGGGGGGTCCAGCGGCGATTCAAGAAATCACCGCGGACCTCGGACAGGTTGATTCTGTGTACGTCATCCATGGTTGCCCGATGTAATGCAGGAGAAGGAGGCGGGCACACACACACACATCCACACACCAGGAGAATGGAGATGAGAGTGCATCTCCATGAAGATGGTGAGCAGGACGATGCGATGGAGGTTCGTAGCCAAACCGGTGGTGTGTCCTCTTTCGGGCCACGCATGCCGACTTTGGCCGCGGGGCCGCAGTTGGGCCATGAGCTACGCGCTTTCCGCTGTCCGCGATAACCGGACCGAGAAGGAGCTGCTGCAGAGCATCAAGGCGTGCGGGGCGACTATATGTAAGAGTGGCCCTTCGCTGATGTGACCTTTGGTGTTGGCCCCAAGGGGGTCGGGTCTTTCGGAATGAGCTTGACCTCGTGTCGGGACCTGCATCGCGTGACTGCGTTCGTATCTGAACGTGCCAGGTTCGGGACCCCCTTGAAATCGTCAGCAACGTGTACATACGCGACGCATCCTACAGTGTGCAATTGTTTCTCGAGGGGGGGTCGGTCGACAGACGGCGCGTTTTCCGCCCCAGGATCAGGCCCGAATCCCAGCCCAAATCCTAAGCCGCCCGAAGCTATGGATATCGTTGAATATGTTTGAGAATATGTTTTGAACCAATGTTGGCCGTTATTTTTCCAGAGACTCGGCATCGCTCGGACGTGTGCATTTTTATCGGCAAGGGCCATCGAGGAGCATTTTTGTCCACGTTGCGAAAAAAAACCCGCACGAAACCGACAAATGCACAGGGAATGGACGTCCAAGCGATGGCGAGGAGAGATTCGAACTTTTCTGGGCCCGCAGATGGGGCCGTTTGGGGCCATGACGCTGGACCCGGTCAGCCGTCGTCGCGATGCGGCCCGGCAGTGCCAGGCCTCATCGCGGTGGCCCTTGGCAGCGTCTGTTTTCGCGGCGCTTTCGAAGTGCCATTCGGGGCGACCGAATCGAATGGGCGGAACTCCGCGGTTGTCAATTGGCGCAAACAAGTCTTTCGGGTGGCGTCTTGTCGATCGTTGATGCGGCGCGGCCGGTCTGGCGTGCGCGGTTGCGTTGGCCCCGTCGGGCGCCCTTCAAGCCGCGCGCCAAAGGTCACTCTAGCCTTTGGCCACTCCTGCGTGTATCTGAATGAGGAGGACAGGGGATTCTAATTTCAGCGGAGGGTCGTTTGAAACACCCATAGTAATTAGACCTTCGGGGGGGCCTTTCGTCGCCATGGCTGGACGCAGCTTGGAAAGCTGGTGCGTTTGGAGCCCGGGAGGGTTCTGGAAACCGATTTGAACCGATCTTGAGTTTCCAGTGTGTCAACTCGCCCTTCTGGGATAGTTGCCCTTGGGAGTTTGAGGCGGAAGAAGGGGAGGAGCACGGGATAGGGTGGCGAGCAGAGGGAAGAGCGGGAGGGCATGAGGGCACGAGCTGCCGCAGGGCATCACTGCATGCGCTTGTTGTCCCAGGCTTACTTTGGGCTGTCAGCTGTACCTCGTGGCCATGGCGTGTCCGTGCGACTGTGCGGACGCATGCCAGCCTACACTCTGCTACACTGTCCGCGTGCATACATGCAATCACGCATGCGCTCCGCTCACAAACATTTTCCACTGCTCGGTGATCGGCGCTACGGGTTTTGTGCTGTTTCGGTTGCAAGGGACGATGTTTTTTTGTTTTGTTGGGAGGGGCACTGCAGACAAAAAAGGCAATGTGCCGCCCCTCGCCGCCCCTGTGACAAAGAGCAATGCCGCATGATCGCGCGGCGCCGGCGCACGATCCAGATTCTAGACGCTTTCCCCATCCAGAAGCGATACCCCGTTGCCATGATCAGGAATGCGGATGGGCCTGCAGTGGAATCAGCTGCTAGGTATGACATCATACCCGTAAGAGGGGGAGGACGGAGGATGAGGAAGAGGAGGGACAGGGGGAGGGGGAATAGTGATGAAGGAGGAGGCCGTAGCCGTTTTCGCTCAAGTTTGCAACAAATTCCAAAGGGGCGCCCACACGCAAACACGTGTGAGCTCTCGCGAGATAGCCCTTCATTATTTTCCCACCTGCTACCGATGTCGTCGGCAAGCTATGGGGAAGTATCGAAAGGCAAGTTGGGCTAGATTCGGCAACGTGCTGCAGAGACCGTTGCCTGCGGCAGCTTCGGGTGCACCAAGGACACCGTGTGTTTCAAATGGTGGTGCCACTTTCAGGCATGGTTGCCAAAGGCTGCGGAAGGATAATCTCGGGCACCAGGTGGTCATTGGGCAACGGTGAGCACATTACGAAAAGGAAGCCCGAACGCGGCAACGACGAGCGTGAACCCAACATGCGATGGTAAGGGAAGCGGTGTCCAGTTCCTCTGCCAGCTGGTGCAGGGTGCCGATTCCATGCTCAAGCGCATGCTCCCGCAAACGCGAAGGAGGTTTCCAGCAGTGCGCCAGACGCCCTCAAGGCCATGAAGGACGCACAGGTTTTCTAGTAAGGTCGTGTTGTCTTCTGCCGCGAAGCGCGAGGCCAGGAGTCGCAAGTACGAATGCCACCCGCATCACATCTGTCAGGAGGCTGACACCTTGGGACTCAAAAGGCAAGGGGAACGCACATCATACAACGTGGAGGCAGATGCCTGCGCGACTTTTCGTCGGGCTGGTGACTCTAAACTCCAAGGCTTTCCAATGGCTACCATCGCCAGATTCTCGTGGTATCAAATTGTATATTTGCACGCCCCCACACCGGCCAGCCTTACCAGCCGGCGATGGTGGGCATCGACCAGAGTGACGCGGACGCCTACACGGCAGCGGCCAACACGGCCCTTTCCCTGGCATCGTTCGGGCGTATGCGTTTTTTTTCTCGGCGAGGACCATCGAGAACCATCCTGGACCATCGAGCAAAAAGACACGCACGAAACCGAAACACGCACGGGTAATGTGCGTCCGAGCGACGGCAAGTTGCGCGTCTCACCCCTCCGAGCGATGACCAGGCTGCGTCGCGACACGCTGGGGGGGCAGGAGGCGGGGCCCGTGCGTCTCGTTGGCAGCGGCGAGGCCAATGGGGGCACCCTCCTAGACCACCTGCCCCCCCCCCCCCCAAGGCAGGCTCGGAGGGAGGCGGTGGCCACACGGAAGAGGACCTTGTTTTGAGAGACCAGGATCAGGCCTCGCGCGGGGCCCCACCGCCCCGACGGTTTCCTGGGCGGAGTCGGTGGGGCGAAGACCGGCAGGAGCGAAGAACGTCGAGGAGAAGCCCCGCAGGCCTGCAGCCAGGGCAGCACGTGAGGCCAAGGGTGGTTGGATGCCCCGCCTTCACGGCAACAGGGCTCGCCTTCGCGCCAAGACTTTCTGGTGGGTTCTATTGGGCCACCTGCAAAGGGGCGTCTGCAGGATACGCCGCGCAAGGTTGAAGGGCTTAGGGCTCAGGCCCTAAAGCTTAGCGTTTGGGGCACAGGGCATATGGATCTGGGCTCAGGGCTGAAGGCTGAAGACAGGGCTTCGGGCTGAGGTTTTGCGGCTTCGGGCTTGGGGCGCAGGCTTTTGGGCACTGGGTGTAAGTGGTGGGGGTGGGGGGGTCATGTCTTGGGGCTTGCGGTTTCGGGGTTGCGATTTAAGGCTTATCTTCCACGGCGCATGGCTTAGGGCTGGTTCAGGGCGGAGAGCTAAGACACCAGGGCGCCGGGCATGAGGATTGGGCTTCGGGGAATCATGGTTCGAGCGGGGCTTGAGGCTGAGGGCCCGGGACGGAGTGCGTTTAGATGCGAGAGGTCAGGGGCATAGGGCGTAGGGCTTAGGGCATGGGGCTTATATTTCAACGAGGGGGGATGAGTCGACTGCACGTAAGTGGATCACGCAAGGTTTGCCCGTCGTTCGTCCGCCGCGCGGCTGCAGTGGGAAAATCATCCAGGTCCATCGCGTCGTTCGTCGTGGCCGCTTCTTGACTTGGGGGCGCGGCGCTCGTCGTTCCTTGAGGTCGTCCAGCTTGGCGTCGATCGATCAATTGCGTGCCGGATATTCGCCGCTGCCGGAGTCGCCGTCGCAGGCGACCTGGCGCCATTAGGTCTGAGCCTCTACGCCCCCGGCCCCCCCCGCTGCCGAAAGATTGCTAGGTCCGCCCATCCCGGGGAGGGGGCCACATTGTCTACGCCACTTCGCCGTTGAAGCACGCGTCGTCGTCGCTGCGGATCTCGCGCGAACTGATCTCCCAGATCTTATTTCATCGACGGTCGAATCCCTCGAAAAGTTCATGGGTGGTCATTGAGATATGTCGGCGGAGCCTCGGGTGTTTCTTGGGGTCGGTTCCCTGGGGCCTCTCGCGGGCCTGGCTGGGTCTGGCGGGGCGTTTTGACGGCCTCGTGGAGATTCGTCGGGGGCGTGTCAGGGCCATTCGGAGGCGCCAGGGGCCCCCTCGGGGAATTGTGGGACCGCCGTAGGATGCAGGGTTCGAAGGCGCCTTCGGGTTCTCCCTCTCGTCGGGGCCCCGAAGAGGTTTTCGGGCCGTGCTGAGGCGATCTTGGAAGCCCCGCGAGGGCTCCCAGACGGGCCCCGGGGGCCCCGTATTCGTGCCGCAATTTCCGCGGAGTGCTTATTCATTTCTGCGCGGGGATGAGCGCGCGCGCGGCAGTGGATTTGTTTGTCGGCGTGCGAGTGACTGCAGTGCAGACGTGCGAAAGTTGATTTATTGCCCCCCCTGACTTGCGGGCTCAACGCTTGGAGGCCCCCCACCGTGCAACTCAGGGCTGGGGCGTGTGGGCTGAGTCTGAGAGCATATGGTCCTAGAGGCTTTGGAGGTTTCGTCTTAGGGCCTAGGGCCCCGTGCTGGGGGCGCAGTTCCACCCCTATCTTGGCTCGCGCCTCGCACCCTTCGCGGCCGCATAGGGTGTCCACCGAGGCCGCCTGCGGCAGGGCCCGCATGCAGTTCCACCCGCATTCCGGCGCCCCCATCGCGCGTCTCGCGGACCCATAGGGTGCTCCGCCGAAGGCTCCAGTGGCAGGGTCCGCCTGCAGTGCCAGTTTAATTTCGGCGCGCCCGTCGCGCGCGTCGTGGCCCCGCGGCGTTCCACCGAAGGCCCGGGTGGCAGGGTCCGCAGGCAGTTCCACTTCCACTCCGGCGCGCCCCTCGCACGCCGCGCGGCCCCGCATGGTGCTCTCCCGAAGGCGCTAGCGGCAGGGCCCGCGTGCCGTTCCGCCCTCGCGTCGGCGCGCGCCCCGAGCGCGTCGCGGCCCCGCGGGGTGCTTCGCCGAAGGCGCCAGTCGCAGCGCCCGCGCGCCGCCGCCATCCCACTTCGGCGCGCTTTTCCGCGCGTTTAGTGCACCCCCATCGCGCGAAGACGATTCTTGCGACTGCGGCGCATGGGTGGCTCTTTCGCCCGGCCCCCCCTTTCCTCGACCGACCCCGAAGCAAGCGGAACCATTGCGACGATTCAGAATGGGAGCGCGTGCGCGCGATGGCATGCATCCCATAGTATGCGCATTTGTTTTGGCAGATGTGCTCGTTGCGCTCTCGGTGATTCTCCGTATCAATGGATGCGCTGCGCGCGGCGTCGATATCCTTTCAGGACAATGGTGCTCTTGATTCCAGCGCCTCTGGGAGGGCGGGGACTCTTCTGAGGCGCCGTGGCACCATGGCTCGCGCGCGTGCCAATCTCTTCCGCGCCCCGCGCTGTGCTTGCGAAAGCGAATTCGGGCTGGGACCGTGGTCGTGACGTCTGAGGGCCAGGGCGCGCGGGGCTGTCCCCGGCGGAATGCCACGTGCTCCTGGTGGCGCAGTAGACGAGGCACATCACATCTGCGCGCGGTGCGGGGTCGTAACAGATTGCTCGAACAAGCGGACCTGGCTGGACTTTCCGATGGATATCATGCAGCACACAATCAGCTCGCGCAGATGGGCTTGGGCTCCTGTTCGACGGGCCCTCGGTCCTAACTTGCGCCCATGCAGCGCGGTTGGCTCGACATCAGTTCTGCCGCGACGATCGCGGGCCCTTCTCGTGGGCCAGACAAGTCGCGCATAAGGTGTCCGCGCCGACGACCTTCAGCTGCGCGGGGGGGGCAACTCGGCTCATTTGCGCAGTGCCATCATGGAGTCCATGGCGGCCCTTTTCGGAAGTTTTCATTAAACGGTACTCCGACGGCCCCCCGTCGGAAAAGGAGATGACCACCGCGGCCGTTTCCGAGGGCGAGGCGGCGGATGCGAAAACGTCGCCGGGTTACCCTGGGGGCTCTTTAGATGGTGTTCCTCCAAGCCTAGGCGCGGACTACATAGTAGGCCAGCCACTATGACTGTTCGAGTTCCGAATATGCGCAGGTTCCGATGGCGCGAATTCGATTGCACAATGAGGAAGCGCAGCCGGCCATCGGGATCCCGCGCGCCGAGGACCAGGCGCCGCAGGGCGCGTGTCCAGTTTGCATGAACCCACGGGGTCCAGCTTCAAGGGTTCTCCCCAGGGGAAACGCTAGCGCGGCGCATGCCAGCGGCTGTTGCCACGGGGTTCACTTTTTATTGATGCGTACCTGGGAATCTCCTGGGGATTTGGCAAGGTCCGAGGAGGGGCCCATCCACGTGGCTGCAGCCGCGACTAAGCGCCATGCTTCCGAATGGTGGCACAGCGCCCAAGCACAGACTTGAAGCTGGGCTGAGGCACTAAGATGCCACTGTTCGACGCAAGCGTTCCTCTGCATTCCGTGCTTCCCACGAACGGGTGCTTACTGCAACTGGCTCACCATGGCTGGCGCGTAGTAGGGTTCAAGCAGCGATGCTACACACTGGATTTCTGAGGTAGGGTGGACCATAGAGTCCTTTTCCAATTTAGGCAGTTCTGCACTGGACGAATCTCCCAGATGATCACCAGCATTGTTTGCGCAGGTTCTAGCAGACAGCTCCACGATTCGTGAACGCCTCCATTGGTGGAGATGCGAAGTTTCGCCAGGTTGCTCGTGGTGCCTGAGGCCGGCATTATTTTCCCATTCGATTTGTGTACGTGTTTTCGGCAGGCATGAGAAGGGGTGGGTCTTCAGACCAAAGTTGATCCACGATGCTTTGGATGCCGGCCCTGGCCTCCAGCTATTCCCACGCTTTCTTGAACCCGCCCCGGACCTAGAAGAAGTGGCACAGGATCGGGGCTCACTTCTTGCGCAACAGATCTGAACGTAATGCAACTGAGCCTTCGCATTCCCCCTCTGAGGTTTTCACTGTCACATGTGGGGGATGCGGGAATGCAGCCCCGACATGATTCGCGCAGGCGTGGCGGCTGTGGAGACGGACCTCAAGGGGAATGTGGCTCGCGCTGCGTACCCTCCTGTTTTTTCGAGCCCCCCCCCCCCGAACTTCAAGGGGCGCAAAACGTGGTGCCATATCGTCGGTATTGCTTCGATTGGCGGACCCCGACAGCAACGCGTACCACAATGATTCCAGTTTTTTGGACCAGTGTTCTTCCTGGCCGCAAATGGCCGTGTCAGGCAATAGTCTTGGTGCGAGACACTTGCCCCCTGCCGCGCGTGCCCTTGAATCTTCCGCCTTTACTATCTTTTTGCCAGGTGGAGGTCCCTTGGCATCAGAACGCTGTCAGAGACGAGACCGATCATGCACACATCAGAGGAAACACCTTCGCCGACCACTTCGTTGCACATTGCGCGGCCCGCCGGCCAGCGCCATTGACCTCTTTTCTCCAGCTTTCCCCCGGGTGTGATAATTCGATTATGGGCGGTTGTGCTACCCAGCGCGATTGCCAATCTGCCCTTGCCCTTTCCACTCTTCCTTTCCCGGGGGCAGGGTCGTCAGGCACAGGGCCGATTTGGCCGCCAGCAGTATAGGGGATTCAGTTGGACACCGTGTGCATCAGAGGGTCGGGTTGCACCAAGAGGTGCCGCGGCCGATCTCCTGCCTTTGTTTGTTAATTGTTCCTATATTGGGAGAGCGCTCCCACCCAGCAGGGGGTCGTGCAATGGCTCGACCGTGTTTCCCGCGTGTTCACATCGGACAAGTTTTGAACGTTTGAAATGGGTGGAAACAAGGGTGAGGAGGAGGGGGGGGAGGAGGAGGTGGAGGAGGCGGAAGAGGAGGCGGAGGAAGAGGCATGGGCGGAGGAGGGAAAAGATGATAAGAAAGAGCGTGTTCTACCGCTGCTGGCGGAAAACCGGGGGGGGTCACTACCGGTTCGAACCCCTCCCCCCCCCCCCCCCCCCTCCGGAAAACCGGGGGGGGGTCACTACCGGTTCGAACCCCTCCCCCCCCCCCCCCCCCCCAGCTCATCATGAAAAGGGGGGGGGGTCACTACCGGTTCGAACCCCCCCCCCCCCCCTCGAAAACCGAGTGGGGGTGCGGACAGTGGTGGGGACGGTGTTGGTGGGGACAGTGGTGAGGGGACAGCGGGACAGTGGTGGGGACAGTGGGGGGACAGTGGGACAGTGGTGGGGACGGTAGTGGTGGGGACAGTGGTGAGGGGATAGCGGGACAGTGGTGGGGACAGTGGGACAGTGGGACAGTGGTGGGGACGGTAGTGGTGGGGACAGTGGTGGGGACAATGGTGGGAACAGGGGGGGACAGTGGACAGTGGTGGTGACGGTGGTGGTGGGGACAGTGGTGTGGGGACAATGGGAATGAGGTGGAAACAGTGGGACAGTGGAGGGTACAATGGTGGTGGGGACAGTGGTGAAAGCGGTGGCGAGGACGGCGGTGGGACAATGGGACAGAGGTACAGTGGGGACAGTGGTGGGGACAGTGGGGACAGTGGTGGGAACAGTGGGACAGCTCAGTGGGACAGCGGAGGAGTCAGTGGGACAGTGGGGACAGTGGGGATAGTCGGGCAGTGGTTGGGGCCGTGGAGACAGTGGGGAGAGTGGAACCGTGGTGGGAACAGTTCTGGGGACAGCGGGGACAGTGCGACAGTGGTGGGGCCACTGGTGGGGACAGTAGGGGCGGTGGTGGAACCAGTGGGGACAGCGGTGGTGAGGACAGTGGTGCTGGGAACACCAGTGGGGGATGTGATGCGGACGGTGGTGGGGACCGGGAGTCGTTTGCTGGCGGTGAGTAGGGGGGGGGGGGGGGGGGTGGGGGGGGGGGGGTTCGAACCCGGTAGTGACCCCCCCCGGTTTTCCGGATCCAGAGAGGGGGGGGGGGGGAGGGGTTCGAACCGGTAGTGACCCCCCCCGGTTTTCGAGCGGGAGGGGGGGGGGGGGGGGGGGGGGGGGGGTTAGGGGAGGGGGGGGTTTTTGCCGGGGGAGAAAGGGGGGGGGGGGGGGGGGGGGGGGGGGGGGAGGGGTTCCAGCAGGGGGGGGGGATTTTCGGAGGGGGGGGGGGGGAGACCCCCGGGTTCCGGAGGAAAAGGTTGGCAATTTTCCACAGTAAAGCGGCGGTGGATCACGCTCTCTCGATGATAAGGAGGACGTGGAGAGGAGGGGGGAGGAGGAGGAGGAGGAGGAGGAGGCGGAGGCGGAGGCGGAGGAAGAGGAAAAGGAGGAGGAGGAGGAGGAGGAGGAGAAGGAAGAGGAGGAGGAGGAGGAGGAGGCGTAGCTCGAGGAGGAGGAAGAGGAGGAGGATGAGGAGGAAGAGTAAAAGGAAGAGGAGGAGGAGGAGGAGAAACAGGAAGAGGAGCAGGATGAGGAGGGCGTGCAGAAAGGCCAAAAACCTCTTGGATGGTATTTCGGAGTGTCTTCGGACGTCCGTTGGCAGGTCAGTGTAGGCTTCTTGGGGCGTCTTGGGGGTTTCTTGGGGGCCTCTTAGGGGCCGATTGGAGCCCTCTTGGGGTCTCCTCGTCGCCTCTTGGGGCATTCTTGGGAGCCTCGGAGGCCATTTGGGGCCTTATCGGAGGATATTGATCAACAAGGAAGGGGCTCCACGAGGCCAACGTGTGCCCAAAACCGAATTGACATCGATGACGCTTACCCTCTCGCCGAGGCAATCTTGGACGGCCCAGCGACCCGCGACCATCCCCCCCTCCAGACCCAAGGGGAGGGGGTAGGGGAAGGGGTAAACCTCTTCCCGACGGAGGAACATGGGGTTTGAAGAGGAAACGCTCCAAAACATCTGCGCCTTAAAGGGTTGGTGAGATTTTATTGCAGCGCGCGGTTTGTGCTTCTTGCAAGGTAATTAGACGGTTGGTGGATGTCGAGTTACAGTTGACAGCGGGATGCATGCGGGCACCTGGAATTGGAAGGAGCGAGTGTGCATCGATGTTGGTGTAATTCAGCCGTTCGGCCTCCAGCAGGGTTCTCTCGCGGAAGCCGACGAGATCTCGACGCGAACTTTGGGGAAGTTGAACGAGCAGGATCTGCTTTGCTTTAGCACAGGTACAGGGGGTGGTCGAAGATTGGTCAGCATCTTGTTTTTTTCCCTCCCATGATCACCTTGATTACCATCATCGGCATCACCAACATCATCAGCATCATCTTCATCATCACCGAGGCTGTGGGGCCACCTGGATGTCTTCATCTTGCGTGGATGTCCCCATGTGATGTTTTCGGTCGTCCTCCCCTTCGTTCTCTCTGTACTTGAGTTCGCTTGGGCTCGGTATATTGCCCACCTGCCACACGCCATATGGCTTGTGAGTGGATGGCACGAGCACCTACTAGTTTCCACCCGCCTGTGCTCTAATTCTTGAGCCAAGCTGGCTCAAGGCTTGTGGTGTTGACTTTCGGCAAGCGCGCCCGCAGTTACGCTCCGCATCATTGTTGTCGCTGTTTGCATTCTTGTGTGTCGGCGTCTTGAGAGGAACGCCTCTTGCAGATCTTGCACACATTGCTCGTGAGCTCGCGGTGTTAAAGCCTCCGGTCATAGTGACGTCGAGGTGGATTGCCTTCTTGGGTGAAGGTGTTTTCGTTCATCGCGAGATATTATCGCATGCCGCACAGACATGGTTCCAAAGTGGACCGAGCAGAATGGCAAGAGGCGATCTGACATCTCACAGATCAGATGGAGGACATCACGGTTAGGTTGGCCCGGCTTGAGTTGAACAGTCACGACATGGATCATCATGCAATATTGTTGTCTTTGAGCATTGGAAGGGCACGGAACTCATGTCATTGACAGGTTGACAAGGCTCGAGTATATTGATGTGTTGGTTGAGTGTTTATAACATTGGAAGCAGCAACAGGTAATATTCTTGAGTGCGCGCAGGGTATCTCATTCAACAAGTTGTGCAGCGAGGCTACGTCGATGGAGAGGCACACACAGGGCGGAACATTAGACAAAGTGATGTCCCTAGTTTGGCGCGTATATGGTTGCACAGCAGAGCCGCCCGCGTCCAACAATCAATCGATCAGGGTGAAGATGTCTCTGACCATGTCCAAGGGAGGGTGAAATAATGCTATAAGATGGAAGACGTTCACCAGACCACACAGCATGATAACCTCAATTGTTTGAGCAAAAACGTGGTTGAAGGCAATGCGGGACTGAAGGCAATCCGGAACAAAGCGGGGAAGATGGTGTGTTTAGTTTCTTGCAACATGGTTATGAATGGGACGGCGAATCAATCGTACAACACAATTTGGCTAAACATGCGTGCGTTGCCCCATGTATTGCTCTTGCCCGTTGGCTTTCATCTGGGTGAATTTGGCTCGATTGTATTATTGTTTTTGGCAAGCAACCGTAGTGGGGTCGCTATCGCAAGAAAGCGTTGTGTTACGAGGGCTTCATGTGACGTTAAACCGCACTTCAACACTATTGTTGGAAATGCGCGACTTGACTCGGAACGGCCTCGCTCTGGAAAATGCTTCGCGCAATCCATCGACGCACAATGGTAATTGCCTACAATGCTCTTTGCACCAATCTGGGGGTTCATTCAAAATTGTTGGATGCACTTCTTGAAGCAAGCATGTGTTGTGTCCATCATCATGAAAAAAACGACGCCGCTTTGATCTATTTGCCGATTTGCTGCTTGCTGCTATCTCGATCGCGCCAATATTTGATGTATGGGCGCAGTTTGGCGTAACTGGCCTGGTCTGGAGCGTCGGCGCAGAGTTGTTTGCTTCTTCCCGCTCCACCTCCTCCCCCTCCTTTTGGGCTTATGTTTGAGTTTTGCTGCAATTCGCCTCCATCGGAATTTGGTATGTGCTGGTCGTTTTACTTTCCCAGAATATCGCACGCAAGACTTAACGCAGTCTTGCTTGCCCACGAGCCGTCGCTAGGCGCATGACTCACTGGCTGATTCGAATGTGCCCTCAGCGGCCGCCTCCTTGCGACAAGGCTGACCTTTTCACCTCGACCGCGTCGGCGGCCACAACCTAACGAGCCGCCATGGTTCGTACTACTACTACTACTACTACTACTACTACTACTACTACTACTACTACTACTACTACTACTACTACTACGACTACGACTACGACTACGACTACGACTACGACCACTACTTCTACTACCACTAGAATTACTTCGACTACTATGAGTACTACTACTACTACTACTACTACTACTACTAGTACTACTACTACTACTACTACTACTACTACTACTACTACTACTACTACTACTACTACTACTACTACTACTACTACTACTACTACTACTCTACTACTACTACTACTACTACTACTACTACTACTACTACTACTACTACTACTACTACTACTACTACTACTACTACTACGACTACTGCCACGACTGCCACTTACTAGTACTATTACTACTATAACTACTACTTCCAGTACTACGAGTATTATTACTACTACTATAGCCAGTACAATTATTACAACGGTGCCAGGGCGCGTGAGGTGGGCGAGCGGCGCGGGCTCGGGCCGGCCCGTTGCGCGCGCGATCACGGTGTTCATCGAGGCGCCGAGCTGAGAGCGGGCGTTGGCGTCGGCGGAGAATTCGTGTGGAAAACGATTACGGAAGTCATGGCGACCTCCCGCGAGTGCGGTTGGCGCGGTGTTCTTGCCAGATCGTACATCCATTGAAGCTCCAACCTCAAGGGCTGCGGGTGGGTGGGCAGGGCGCGCGACGCCCCTGGCCCGGCCAATCTCAAACAGTCACGAAGCGTGTCGGTTCGCCTATAGCCCTACCAAACAATGTTCTAAGAACCTTTTGACACTCTCACGAAATATTCTTAGAAAGTTTCTGGCCGGGACCGTCTTGTTTTAACACACCGGGTTTATGTTCTAAGAATAGCGCTTTTGTTCTTAGGATATTTTCGGGTTCTAAGAACATTTCGTTGCACGACTATAGGAATGCCGGGACGATCGGCCCCTGCTCGACAATCTCGGCGCCGAGGCCAGCGCCGCGCGAGTTCCGGGGGAGCCGACGGCAGCCTTGAAACGCGCCGCCAGGAGCCGCGCGGGGGGGGCGCGGCAGCCGCCAAGGGGAGGGTCGAAGCGGGCGCGCGACGGAGCCGCCAGGACCAACCGCGTCGGCAGTCCGCCGCTGCAGTCGCCCTTGCTCTGCGCGCTGGGTTCTGCCCGCGCGCTCCCCGACGCTGCTGGCGGGCCCCTTCTTGCCATTCCACGTCCAAGAGGCCCATCGGCCCAACAAATTCCGCGGCTCCCTCTTCCAGGAACATCGGGATATCGGGGGCGTCTTGAAATTTATTTGTTTGCCGATCGGCGCGGGCCCTCGCCCCCCCCCCCGCGGAGTAGATCTCGGTTGTTGTTTTGGCGCTTGTTTCGAGCGGGCGGGCCCTCCCCCCGGAGGGCGCGCGGCCCCGAACAGTCGCATTAAGCAGAGGCCCAGAGCCAGCGCCCCCCCCTTCCGCCCAACGTCGAGACGCAAACAAAAACCTCACATGCCATCCGATGCGCAGTGAGGCGCGGGTGCAATTCTTTGGTTGCCGCCGAGTTCCACCGCGCATTCCGAGTGCGCGATGGGATCGCCTGGGCCCGCGTGGTCGCCCACCCTACCATCGCTTCCGAGCGTTGGATTCTGCCCTGCGTGCGGGGTCGACTTCCGGAGCGGCGAGGGCCCCGGAAGTCTGGGCGGAGCGGGGGGCCCAGTGGATTCTTGGCGCGCACCCCCGACCTGCCGTTTACCAGCTGCGAGCTGGAATCCGGAGTTTCTGGCCGCTTCGGCCCCGGCGAACGGGTTCCAGAGTTGCGGGCGCCGGGGCAGCGCGGCGGCCGAAATTCACCAGGCTGGCAACATCTGTCGCGCGGCGACTCGCGATCCACACTTCGTAGCAATCCGACTGACATCTTCCCGGTTGGCCTGGAAGGGCGATGAACGAGAGTCCCCCCGACGCCCCGCCCACGCTCCACAGGCAGGGGCCCTGCCCCTGCGCCGCTTTAAGTCTCTCCGAGCGCCGCCGCCATTCGCCGCACATGGCAAAACAGTTGTTCGAACAGACCTTTGGGGAAAAGGAGAGGCGCGACTTGTTCGAGCTGGCCGACGGGGTGCATAGTGGCGACGTCCGGGAACCCACTGCGAGTCGCATTATGCATGGTTCCGCATTGCAATGGCGAGCCGCGACCCCGGGATAATAAAGCACGCCCTCCCTTCCCACCTGAGCGCCCATCTTCCCCGGCCAATGCAGATGTGGTCGGGCGAGAGGGGCGGCAAGGCCGAATAGTATTTTCGCGTGGAAAAGTTTCGAATCGAAGTTGCTATCTTCTTGCGTTGATTAGCAACATCATACACAAAAACGCGCGGCGTGGCAAATGGGGGCCCTGCCGCATCGTCAAAAACGCGCGCCGAGTGCTTGCCTTGCAAGGGCGGCCCAGAGGCGCCGAGCATTGGGCGGGTGATGCGAGATTCTTCGCAAGCGAGGCTTGGCGGCGAGGGGCGCCGAGGATCTCGAGGGCGCGGGCCAGCTCCAGGATCTCAAGAGCACGCGGCAAGGATCTAGAGCGGGGGCATGGATCTCGAACGCACCGCCATCATCACCAATGCCCTCACCACCCCCTTGATGGTCCACTATGCTGCGACCAGCCAGGGAAATTTGCATGATCCCCCGTTCCCCGGATGTCATTATCCCTGGGGGTGCGTCGTGAGGGCGGGCGGTCATGAGGGCGGCCATGGGTGCGTCATTATCCCCATCAGGGGCGGGCGGTCATGAGGGCGCGCCCTCATCCAGCGCTGGCGCCGCCGTAGACCGAGAGCCCCTGCCTGCCAGCCTGAGGCTGCGCCGTAGATGGCAGCCGCGCTGAACGCGAGTGTCATTGCCGGCGCCGGGCTCTCTCGCGCCGCCGCCGCGCTTCCGATTGGGGCGACGAGATGAAACGACGCAGGACAGCCCTGCCGCGCCGCCGGGCGTTCCCCCCCTTATCCCGGAATGGCTTGTCCTGCGCTGCGCTGCCGCGGGAGCGCCCCGCGCCGCCCCCCGAGGGAGGAGGGAGGAGGGAGGAGGGAGGAGGGAGGAGGGAGGAGGAAGGAGGGAGGGAGGGAGGGAGGGAGAGGAGGGAGGGAGGGAGGGAGGGAGGGCCCCCTTTCCCGCGTTGTCGAACTCGCCTTTCGGGGAGGCTGCTCGCCGCTGGCAGCGGCCAGCATCTCGCCCCCCATCAGTGTTCAGCGGTGCCGTTCCAGGCTTCGCCGTTGGACCTCCCCCGCCGATCGGGCCCGCGGAGGCCCCTTCGGGGGCGAGCAGGCGCGCGCGCTCGTCTGTTCTGTCCGATTGGGAGTCGGCGTTTGTATCAACGGTGCAACATGTTTTTCGCGCTCGCAGCGGAGTTGTTGCCCTCCATGCGACAGCTAATGACATGGTTGTTGGCGACAGTTGCATGCCTTCATCTGTCTCGGCCGTCGCAATTCAGTGTATATCTCGAGCTACCCGCCCTTTTTCAGGGGTACTGGCATCGCATTGAATCGCGGGCTTTCCCGAGCAGGAGCCGCGCGACGGGCGCGCGGCGACAGTTGCATGCCTTCATCTGTCTCGGCCGTCGCAATTCAGTGTATATCTCGAGCTACCCGCCCTTTTTCAGGGGTACTGGCATCGCATTGAATCGCGGGCTTTCCCGAGCAGGAGCCGCGCGACGGGCGCGCGCTGTTGTCCGCCAGCATCGGCGCAAGACGCACGCGCCAAATTCGCAACAATGACGACGCCCTGCTTCGAAACGCACAACCGTATCATCATCACCGTTGTTGCTTTTCGCGGGGATGCAGGGGCGCTTGCATTCGAATGGTAATGTTTGCGTCAGTCTAGGTGCGCACGCGCCGACAGCTTGACCTAGTTCCCCCGATCTGCGCGTCAGGGGGACTGGGCTCGATTCTAAGTTGTGGCGGTGGGCTTGTCTGCTATATCTTGTGTTATGTTGATGATGGTTTTCTGCCACCATCCCGTCCTTGTTCTCTTCCTCCCTTCGCAGGCCCTAGAGCGCGCGCGGCGTCACCTTTGCGGCAGCGGTGCGTTAGTGCATATATGGTCCAGGGTCTGCCCCCCCCCCCCTTCCCACCAGATGGCATGGCGTCCAGCCCTCCCCCCCCATGATGGGTGCCCCCCCCTGTGGTGTGGTGTGGCGTGGTGGTTCGCACACGTGCGTGCGTGCGTACATGCGTGTCCCCCCGCCCCCCCCCCCCTCCATGTGGGTGTGGCGTGGTGTGGTGGCGCGGTGGTTTGCGAGCGTGCGTGCGCGCGTAAGTGCGTGTCCTTTCCCCCCTCTGTGGGCGTGGCGTGTAGTGGTGATGTGCTGTGGTATGGTGTCTTGCGCACGTGTGTGCGAGCCCCCCCCGCCCTATTGGGGGGGTATGGTGTGCTGCGTGGTGGTTGTGCGTGTGCGTGTGAGTGCGTGCGCGCGTGAGCGCGCGCGCGCTTGCGCGCGTGTCTCCGTCGTAGCCGTCAGCAAAGGCAGCGCCGTCATCCTCGTCGTCGTCGTCGTCTTCGCAGTCGTCGTCGCCGCCGTCGTCGTCACCGTCGTCGTCGTCGTCGTATTCCCCGTCGTCTTCGCCGTCGTCGCCCCCCATACAATCTGGGGGGGCGACGTGGGAACTCTGGGACCCATGTAATCTTCGGGGGGGGCGTGGGCACCCGACACCCTGGATCATATATGCCGAGGTGCTGTTGAGGGAAACATTTCGTTCCTATTATGTGCTATGGTTCCTTTTTATATGTCGCGTTATGTTTCTCTGTCTCTCTCTCTCTCGCTCTTTCGTTCCCCCTTCGATAGACAGCTAATATGAATATATGTTATGGTGTTGGTGGTGTGTTCTCTCTCTCTCTCTCTCGTTTTCTGTGTCCTTGTTCCGGTCCCTCTCTCTCTCGCCATTGTTCCTTTTTTGTTCGGTCCTTTTTTTCTCTACATGTGTTCTCACCATTGTCAGTATTTCCCTCAACCTCTCTCCCTCTCGGTTTCGCCCTATATCCCTCTCGCTGTTTTCGGGTATGCTTTCTCTGTCTCTCTCTCTCTCTGTCTCTATCCCTACCACTCTTTTCTCGCATTATCTCTCTCTCTCTCTCTATCCGTCTCTCTCTCTCTCTCTCCCACCGTGTATAGACCTATACATACATATTCATTTATAGATCGCTGTCCTTCCGTGTTCTCCCTCGTTCCCTCCCCTTTTCTCCTTTTCGATATGTCCCGCGTTCGATTACGCTCTGTCCGCCTCGAGTTGGAAGAAGAGGAGGGCGGAGAAGAGCAGGAGGGGGAGCGGGAAGAGGTTCGAATCGAGGAGAAGGATAACGACGAGGATGAAGAAAACGGCGCGGACAATGTGAAAGAGCAAGCAGGAAGGGAGAAAGGAGAAATGGAGGGATGAGCCAGCAGGGACGAGGAGCAGCAGAAACAAGGGAGAGCGGCTGAGAAGGGGGGGCGGGAAAGGTAAGGGTATACGTACCAGCATGGGGGGAGGAGGAGGAGGAGGAGGAGGAGGAGGAGGAGAAGGAGGAGGAGGAGGAGGAGGAGGAGGAGGAGGAGGAGGAGGAGGGCGGATGGGAGGAAGGGGGGAAAGGATAAACAAGGAATGATGCCTGGGGCGGGCGAGGATTGGAGGAGGGGGCTGTCTAGGCCGAGTCCTGTCCTTCGCGTGGTTGGCATCAATACAAGAATCGCCCGCGAGGTCGCGAGGACGGGGACAGGCCCCATTCCTCACTCTAGGCCAACGCCAAAAAGCACACTTGCCCTCACGAGGCGTGTGCAAACGGGTGGGAGGCGCGAGGGTTCGATTTGAAGTTGTGGCCATTTATGCCGAGCGTTTTGTCTGAATCTTGCACTGCAGTCATCCCCTCGTTCCCCCCCCCATCTCTCGCCCCTTTTTGCTTGTTTTCTAGACTTGACAAACGAGCGGCTGCCAGACGGAGCAGCTGGAGAGGATAGACCGTCACACAGGCGAGGCGGGTTGCGAACTCTTGACCGCTCCAGTGCCGTTGGTATCGTCGCTCATGTGAGTGGTTCATCGACGCGTGTGGCTCCATGGTGGGGGATTGAGTTTGTTTCACGTCGGCTCCCTCGCCTCTCTCGTGTCTCCTGCGCTCGTTTCCTTCCCTCGGCTTCTTGGAGCTCTGAAGCTCTGGAGACCCCTGGCGATGCGTCGCAGGCGTAGTCCAAGACGGGCAGGACAAATGATGGAGGAGGGATGGCGAGAGTCTGCTCGAAACGCCGCTCCTAGTGAATGGCTCGATACTGCGAGTCAGACGCAGCTCGACGTACAGGTGCTGCGAAACCTTGAGGCATTCACTGGCAGCGCCTCTTCTGTATGGTCGTGACTGGATCACACGTGTCGCTGTCTGAACGTTCGTGCCAGCGCAGGAGGCAAGGAGATTTCTCCCCTCCTCGCGTCTGGCCGTGCTCGGCTGGCCTCGGCCTCGCACTGCCACGCCCCGTGCCCGGCGCAGACGACATCGGCAACAACCTCAACCAGTCTGAGACTCTGCTGCGCAGCCTCAGGCCGTTCGGATGGGTGCGCAACCTGTTCAAGAAAGAGCACAGGTCTGGGCGCTCCTGGTGCCACCCCCGTCACCCCTCCATCCGGACCTCCCTCGCAACATCCCGTTCAGCATCATGCCATGCGAGTGCTGAGGTCCTCCCTGAACTGGTATTGTCAAGTGCGGGGTCTTCGCTCCCACGCAAATTTTTCACATCACATGTCAGCCAGCGTTGATCGCAAACAGTAGCAAATTGCGTTGTAGATGTGTACGCTACGTTGTGTATGCTATGTTGTGTAAGCAATGTGGGGCAGCATGCTTGGTGCGAGCTAGAAGCGGTAACGAGGCGGCCACGGGCGGCAACGTGGCGAATCCTAGCCAGACCCACCCATCGCTGGGGCGGCAACGGGGCGGCAGCATGGCGAAAATGTCGCCCAACCCTCGCAGTGCACGAGGAGGCAACGCGGCGGCTTCGGGCGGCAACGTGGCGAAACCTCGGCTGGCACACCCAGCGCACGAGGAGGCAACGAGGCGTCCACGAGGCGCGTCGGGCGGCAATGTGGCGAGACCTCACGGGATCCACCCATTACAAGAGGCGGCAACGAGGCGGAAGTGGTCGGCAGGGTAGCGAAACCTCGCTGGACACACCCAGCGCACGAGGCGGCAACGGGCGGCAACATGGCGAAACCTCACTGGACCCACTCAGCGCACGAGGCTGCAACAAGGCGGCTTCGGGCGGCAACGTGGCGGAACCTCGCCAGACCCATCCAGTGCACGCGGTAGCATCGAGGAGTCCATGAGCGGGCAACGTGGCGAAGCCTTGCCAGACCCACCCAGCGAACGAGGCGGCAACGAGGCGGCCACGGGTGGCAAGGTGACGAAACCTCGCCAGCACCACCCAGCGCACGAGTAGGCAACGAATCGGCAACGAGACGGCAATGTGGCGAAGCCTCACTGGACCCACCCAGGGCACGAGGCGGCAACGAGGCGGCAACGGGCGGCAACGTGGCGAACATTTCGCCCGACCCACGCAGCGCACGAGGAGGCAACAGGAGGCAACCGGCTGCAACGTTTCGAGATCTCGCGAGACCCACCCAGCCCACTAGGAGGCATCGAGGTGCAGCGGGCGGCAACGAGGCGACGCCTCGCCAGACCCACCCAGTGAATGAGGCGGCAACGAGGAGTCAATGAGGCCGCCACGTGGCGAAACCTCGGCGAACCCATCCCGCGCACGAGGCGGCAACAGGGCGGCACAACGACAGCAACGGGCGGCAGCGTGGCGAAGCTTCGACGGACACGCCCCAGCGCGCGAGGTGGCAGCGAGGCGACAAGAGGCTGCAAGCCTGGCATCGCTCGAACGTGTGCATTTTTTCTTGGCGAGGACCCTGGAGGAGCAGCCTGGATCATCGAGCAAACAAAAACACGCACGAAACCGACAAATGCACAGGGAACAGACGTCCGAGCGATGGCAAGCAAGAGGCGGCAACAGGCGGCAACAAGGTGAGAGGTGAAACCCTCGCCAGATCCACGCAGCGCTCGAGGAGGCAATGCCGCGGCAACGTGTGAACTTGCTGGACCCATCCTGCGCAAGAGGCGGCAACGAGGTGGCAGCGGGCGGCAGCGTTGCGGAACCTCGCCGGACTCACCCGGGGCACGAGGCGGCAACGCGGAGCCCATGAGGCGACACTGTGTTGACATTTCGCCGGACACGAGGCGGCAACGAGGCGGCAACGGGCAGCAACTCGGTGAAGCCCTCGCCAGACACGCAGCGAGGAACACACACCGTCAATTTGGCGAAACCTCGCTGGACCCACCCAACGCAAGAGGCGGCACCGAGGCTGCTTCGGGCGGCAAAGTGGCGAAACCTCGCCTGACCCACCTAGCGTACGAGGCGGCAACACGGCGGTAACGGGCGGCAGCGTGGCGAAACCTGGCCGGACCCACTGCCACCCAGCGCTCGAGGTGGCAACGAGTACGAAGTCAATGAGGTGGCAAAGTCACCATCTAAGTCTTCAGTGACACAAACAAGAATATACCTTATCTTCCCAGATGCAAGCGCTGCTTTTTGCAAGATCTCTACACCCGTTTTCGCACATGTTTTCCGATCGGACCGCCTTGGGCATTGCATTTCTTGCGTGCATCCCCAACTGAATCTTCGTCGGCCGGCGGCATTCGCTCTTCGGCCGTTCATCCTCAGCCATCCTTGGTGGGGGGATTTGTAATCTCAGGTTGGCCACGCGCAGAGAGGGGTGGGGTGAGGGGGGAAGGCTTTTTAGAAGCACCCCTGCTTCTTAGAATGCGCGGGCCTTGTCCATAGATGTAAGGCCGGCGCCTTCTAAGAAGCAGCCTCCTTCTAAGAAACCCTTCCCCCTCCCTTCCACCCCCCTCTGCGCGCCGCTAAACAGGAACGTGCCCCCCTTCATATTCAAGACGCCTCGGACGCCTCTGCGCGCAACTGCCCACAAACGAACCCACGGGCGCCTTCTCCACCCCCACTGTCGACAGTCTCCATCGTTTAGGGGCGCATTGCGCTCCCATTGGCCTCCCTGTCCCCCTCCTCCACTCTTCCTCCTCTCTTCCTCCTCTTTTCCTCTTGGCACATGTGCCATTGGGTGCCCTCGGGCGTCCCAGAAAAAAACAGGCGGGTTGCAGCCCGATCGTCACCCTTGTTTGCCCGTAGTGGGCCAGGGGGAGAGAAAATTGCCCCTCGTCGCCATGCTTTCCCACCGTTTGCGGTGGCCCGGCACGTACACCGCGTACGCCTGGGCGGGTAGGGGGTCCCCTGCGGGGGGCCCATGGTGGATCCACACCCACTCTTCCCACGGTCAGGGTCCCCCGCCCTGGCGTGCGTGGGGGTGTGCGGTCGCCCGAGTGAGTGGCGGCCTTCGGGTGGCTCATCGGGGCGGCACGCCGAGTGGCGTGTCGCTATATGAGGGCAGTGCGCCCGCCGCCTCGGAATTGTCAGAATGCGCGGCGCGCCAACGGGCGCGCTGCGAGCGGCGCGCCAAAGTGCGCGTCGCCCGTTCCGCTCTTGGTGGTTTGGGCCAGGAAGGAGTGAACATCTTAATCATGGAGGGATTCATGTGCGGTATCACGTTTTCTCGTGTTCCGCAAGCTTCTTGGCGGGCTCCACGGGTGGGCTTCCTTTCGTAGCCGCGCTGCTCGTCGTGTCCAGTGGGCGCTTCTTCCAAATCGCGTTTGTGATGGCGGAAATCCTGGGAATCCTCCTCTCTTCCTCTTCTTTTCCTCCTCCTCCTCCTCCTCCTCCTCCTCCTCCTCATCCTCCTTTCCCTCCGCCGCGTCGGGCCCCGTGCCCTCGCAGACCTCCCTTTCCGCGGAGTCACGTCGGAGGGGCTCGGGCGTGATTGGGGCAACCGCGCCCGCGGGGCAGTGGTGGCCGCCTGGGGGCCTCCCCGCCTTGGGGGCAGGCGAGCGCGCGCGGTGCTTCGGCTGCAGGTGTCGCTGCCCCTGGGCTGCTCGGCGCGCGGCGACGAGGCGACGGCCGCAGTCGAGCCAGCGCGGGGCCCGCGGAGCCTTGTCAGCGCGGCCAAGATCGACGCAGTCTCGTCGGCGCTCTGGTGGGTTGCACCACAAGTTTCCCAGGCATGCGCGCGAGACAAGGGTCCGGGGAGGCTCATCATAAGACGACTGGGGTCTCCCATCGCAGGACGAACGGCGAACATAAGCTGCGATTGTGCAGCGCCCCTCCCGAAGCGTTTCCCCGTGGCAGACGACGTCAGGAAGCTGGGCCTTGCAGCTCAAGGGCCGCGTGGACGAGGAGACATTGTTTATATCGCGTCGGGTCAACTCATGAGGGTGGTCTTTTTATCATACATCCCAACCCGCTCCTGCGTGAAAAGGGGGGGGCTGCTGTTTGGAGAGACGCGTGTAGAACGCTCGTAACATGGGCGAGAAAGAACCTTCTGAAGGTGCCCCAAGGCAGGCTTGGCTCCGCACTTCGAGGAGCGCCCTGTCGGTTCTCGAGTGGCCCGCGAATGCCCGCGCGATGGCAATCGACGCGACGGGGGGCGTGGACAGCGTCTGTTTCGGCGTGCAGGCGGCGTCTTTTCACGTCAGTTACATATGCGCACCGCAGAGTGCGATTGCCTCGCTTCAGCGGGCGCGCGCCTGGCAGCTTGCCGGCGAGGCGGCGCGAGCAGGCCAATCCAGTATTTATCGCGCACCAGCGGTGGCCAAGTTCCAGGTGGTGGCCCTGGCCAACCAGATCCTGCTACGTGAGAGGTGGGACCCCCCATGCCTAGCGGGTGCTCGGATGACGGGAGGGGACGCGGAGGTTTTTCTCAGGCGTCGTCGTTGCAGATTCGAAGATGCCAAGTCATCGGCTACATCCTGGGGGGGGGGGGGGCGACGGGGGGCGCGCGACGCTCGCCGCGGGCGCCATCCGGGAACTTGCGCCCGACCGCGCCTCGCACGCGGCGACGGAACGGGGCTGCTGAAACCAAGTTGGTGGCACAAATGGATATTGCCAACAGAGAGCACGAAAGCGTTGGCGAAAGTGACAGCGTCGGAAATCGAGCAGGTTGTTAGGACACGAGACGCTGCGGAACCAGTTGGGCGATGCTATTCGGAACAACACCAAGGTCCTCTGAGGGCGGCGACGGCGACGAGGTCGCCAGCGAATGGCGCATCGGGGCGGTCGTCGAGGATGCGCGACGCGGATCTTATCCCGGGGCCCGCGCGCCCCGTTACCTGCGTAGGCGCTGGAGTGGTTGACTGAAATAACAGCGCGTACGCCGCAACCCACCCGAGCAACGATGTTTGGCCAGCGCTCTTCACGGGGAATTTCTTGGCGGGCAGCCTCGGGGGCGGAGAAGCATCGCTGCCTCTGCGCCGCACATTCACCCCCCCCCGAATGGGTCGCGGTCTTGCGACGCGCGGGCGACATGCGCCAGGCGTCGACAAATCGAGTCAGGACGACCTCAAGAGGGGCACGGTCGACATCATCATGGCTATCAATGCCTTTCGCCGCGCGACGATTGATGCGTCTGTCCGCCACAGCCAACGCCTTCGGGGGTGTCCAAGGTGGCGGTCGACCCAGGGCGG